TATATATATATATATATATATATAAAGTCTTTAAAATTCTTAACTATTCCATCTATGGCGGGTGTATCTATGATTGGAGAATGCCACTATTTCTCGATGAATTTTTTAGTGGTCCTAGTAGGACGTGATTTTACGCTTCGAATTAACACTTAGTATGCCTTATGAGTTACAGTTTTGGACACAGTGGTTGTAAGCAAAGCAAAAAAAAAAAATAAATAAATAACGGACTTACATAAGTAATGAAATTAATTAAACTATTCACGTTGATGAAGAATGTAAATATATATATATATATTTATACATATATATATGTATTTCAATTTATTAAAAATATTTGAAAATATACTCTTCCGTTCTGTGGCCACTGGAAGTGCGAGAATAGAGCCAAGCGTAATATTATCATGAAACACTTAAACACCGCGTGGTTAATAATCCCCGTATCATACGGTGATGAAGACGGCGCACTCGTTGTCATGAGGAAGATCTGGTCCTCGAGTAACAGACGAGGTACGTTATGGTCGCACCACCTCCCTGCCTTTCTGTGGGTAAGGCACCCGGTTGCACACGATGCAACTCCACACCGAGCAAAAGCTCTTCCCGCGATTTTGGGCTAACCACAGCCACTTTAGCTATGCCCCGTTCCCGTTGTCAGGCCAAAGCTAGAGGAAGTGCTGTGGGGGCTCCTAACACCCGTATTACCAGAATTTAGGAGAAACATTTGAGAAGAAATTGATAAAAGTCTCCGGTCGGCTTTTCTAGATACCATAAGACCCGAACTTGGGATGAGATAATTATTGGATGGAAACCAGTCTATATTATGCGTATGGGCATAGTATTCTCACTGGCCGGAGCGAGGCCTATCTCAACCTCTTAGGAGAAAATATTTCCTAGGCAGAGCATGAAGATCGAGTATACAACAATAGCGATTTAGGGGAAACTTGGAAACGGATCTCCCCACATCATTAACCAGAAAGAAGAAGCTTCCGCTAACACTTAAGAGCTGCATGCGGCTCCTAACCCCCTATTATTCAGTCATTGTCAACGTATAGGAGGAGCACGGACGGGGATCAAACGGAGAGAGAGTTGTCCGGATCAACTTTTGAGATATTTTGATGAAATTTGGTACATCGGCACGTTTTAGAGTAGATCACTTTTTCGATCACTTTTCATATATAAATACATATGTATATATATTGCCATCCTGTGAGCCACGTCGTATTATAATATTTTGACTTGTGTTTTCATTCATAATTTTAAGTTACTTTGTGTTTACTTAATGCGTATGACTTATATGAGCACTTTTTACACGCAACAACGCATCACAGGATATATTTATGTTGTTGAAATCTTTTCAACATTCAGAAATATGCTTCATGGGGGCCTTAAAAAGCATATTTTTTCATGATTAGTATCAAATTTGGATTTAATTTCCGCCAGCGGAATGTCTATAGTCAACTATATCCTAATCGCAGGAATTAAACTTAACAAAAATGTAGAAAAGTCATGGCAGGCAAAGTGGTTTAGAAAATCGAACGAACTCGGTTCAACATTACGCCTATTAAGCGTCACTTTTATTTTCAAAAACCAAAAAACATATGAATATTTTTGGTCATTACTTATAAAGCGCAGCAGATACGTGCATTCTATGCGTGACAATACAGTACGTCTACAAAAATGGGAAAACTTGTCTGCCTACATCCAATATTATAGGGTATCAAAATTTATATATATATATATATATATTTAAGATTAAAGTGGTCGGCATGAAAGATTTGGCAATAAATGAATATAAATTTTTTGCATATTTAGTTTTACGTTGTGCCGCGTGAAGCCAAGAGACATTCATCTATTGAACGTATTTAGGGGTAAACTCACATTCACATAAACATATAGACCAAATATATACACATATACATACACATACGCGAAAAATTGAAATATGCAGCCACGTAATTTCTTTCTACCCCTCTCCCTTTCTTTCTTTTATTGTTTCTCATTCTTTTGCATGTAGTTACGTTTATAAATATATATAAATAGTTATTCACACATATACATATATGTATACCTGTATACATGTTTATTTATATATGTATATATATATATATATATATATATATGTATGTATGTGCTTATGCATATATACACGTATATAGCCAATTATAAGTGCGCATACACATCTTAAGATGTGTAAAGGGTGTATCAAAATGAGCTGACATCCTTTTATTTGTAAGTCGTTAAACATTTTACTTTGATTTTCATAATTAATTTTTTTAATCATTGTAAGCAACTGACTCCTATGAAATCCGAAAATTTGTTGGCGTTTTGTAGGGTGTTTTTTTTTTTTTTTTGGAATTTCTTAACTTTTTCCAGTTACATCTTATCCTTGAGCAAATGTCTTTATCCAAATGAAAAAGTCTTATCGTGGCAAGTCTTGTCTTCTTCTTTCTTTTCTCTTTTGCTTTTGTTCATTTCAAATCCATATCGAATAGGAGCGGTCGTTTAGACCGAATGTACGGTTCAATTCTTTCACATTTTGTACGACGCATGTATATAAGCAGATCGAAATTGGCTTTTGGCCAATTTTGAATAAAAACACCGTGTCATGTGCAACAGGTTACTTTGCATTGTTTACAACAGATTTTACATTAAAATGCAAATTTGACGTTTTTGTAACCCATACCATCAAATGACTTGATTTGTTAAGTAAACATATATATAATCAAAACGACATTTTTTTCTTTATCCCTCATCGTCACTTTGATGTGAATAAAAAACTGAAATTTTCTATTAAATATTAAGCCCTCGCGAAGAGTTTTGTTCATACATGATAAGAAGAATGATTTAACTCGTGCTACGATTCGTAGAGTCGCTTATATAGGAAAAATGACGTGGTATTATTTTCCATCCATCCATCCATTCATTACGTACTGGGAGATGCGCCAATGAGTTCCTAAATACTTTATTACTCGTGTTGGTCATCCAATCATTTATGTGATTCAAACAAGGCTTCAGATAAGCTTCAGTTTTGTTTTTGCTTAAGTTCGTCAGATCTAGACTGGAATGTGTCTGATTATTATTTATACAGTTGAAATGTCAGGAGGGAAACTTTAATCTATGATAAACTTTATTCAAGTCATTTTCATGTGACTGCACGTAAATGCATGAGGGTTTGCTTTTTTGTTTGTTTGATATCTGAGTTATTCAAGAATTGATATCAAATTACATTTTTGTTCTTCATCTTGTTCTACAAGAGTACAGCAAATCATCAACAAATGATTTACTTTTCTAAGTAGAAAAGTGATTCAATTATATTTTCCATATTTGGTAGATAAGAGCAGGACGAATGGCATGATCTTGAAATGTCTCGAAATCGTTTCATAAAATGCGACATTTCAATAGTGTACGTCCTTGAGGCGAAACTTACTAACAGGGTTTGAAAATCATATTAAAAATTCTTTGAAAATTTCAATCTGTAAGAAGAGGGCCTTACAAGCTGAACGCCGGACCAGAAACGAAATGTACGTGTCATTGTGAAATTCATTATATGTAAATTATATGATCACTTACCCAGCAGTGAGAGCAAACCACAGGCCAGCCATATAATAAAGCTTACACCAACGGAACCAGTACGTACTAGTAGACCAGATGGCGACACAAATATTCCAGACCCTAGGATTATAAAATGTATATAAAATGTAGATCAAATTCATACATGTGTAAATACATTAAAGTAAATTATTATGAACAAGTTTTTATTCGACGTGAATCTCGCTATCTATATTATGAATATTAAAAAGATCAGTTCAATTTCTGATTCTTTTTATACCCATCACCAAAAGGATGAGGCGTACATTAATTTTGTCAAAAGTAGTTGCAAAACTCACAAGGAAGCTTCAGAGACCCTCTCCCGGGGGCGGCCCCCCCCCCCAAGGTATATATATTTTTCATCAACATCAAATACTGAATCGATTTACCATTATGTCTGTCCATATGTCCATTTATATAAGCTCTGTTGTAAAAATTCAAAAAACATTGCATATTCATGCACACATGCAAATGGGGTCAAAGAATGGGTGTCGAGTGTACAGTGGATGCGTAAACTGACAACACCTCTATAGTAGGCCAATGCATATATAGTACGTGTACCAAAATGAAAAGAATCGGCCACGTCTACCCAATTTTGTTGAGTGTCATATTTTCATTTTCTTTCGAAAATCTTTATAACGTACAAAGGCAAGATTCGAAAATCCCATAAAGCATATAACTACGTGGCCAGTTTTACATTCGGAATGCACTTAAGCATATCCATTTGTTTGTTTGTCCGTCCATCTTCTCGCCTGCCCATTTGTGTAGTGGCTGCGTTAAACATCCTGCCGTTAATGAAAATGAAGAATACGCTTACAACAACCACAACAAAAACTGAGAATAACTTTGCTTTTCATGTTTTCTGCTCATAAACTCATAAACTTCTAGTTTTATTGTAAAAAGCAGAAAAAAGTCGCCCACACTCACCTAATATTATCGAGTATGAAAATTTAAGTTTTACTTTATTCGTTTAGCCTTTCTCACGATAACGGTGATGGGTATTCAGTCGCGGTCGAATCTAATTTTCTTACTCGTTAAAAATTTTCCTTTTGGCTTACACTAGTTATTAAGTAAGCCAATCTGTAG